ATGAAAAACAGTGTTTTTGCCGGTGGTGTCTCGCATTAATATACGATCTTAAATTGCATTCACAGTCAAACACATAAAAACGGTTCACCTTGACGGCTGTGCCCCCGGTTGTTTTTGTATAACCTTTTCGCTAGAATTGATTTAATATTCAGCACACATATGAAGCATCAGAGAGTGCACAACATCAATAAAGAAAACCTCCAACAAAACACAATATTGATACGGAGCTCTAGCAAAAAGAAAGAAAACACGATGTTTCTTTGGTGAACTTACAGTAACTGACAGATCTGTTTAGCCGGGTTGTCCATTTTTTATTAAAGCTGCCATCAGTGTAATTCACATTGATGAGCACCAACATGTTTCCTGCCTCTTTATGCTAGTTTGAGCAAAACACAAAAGTGCTTCTCTTCCAAGAGGACGAGCTGATGAAATACAGACGTAATCCCTCCAAACGCCGCAGAGAAAGGAAAACATGACCCCTGCTTTCAACTTTTACCGTCCTGTTAACTTTCAGGCAATTACACAGCGTCCCACGTTGCTAAAGTAAGTGGGAGCAACAGCTGCAGAATAAACCTCCGCAAGGCAACGGTTCCCTCGACAGCTACAGAGTGTCCCTTAAGTCGCTCCAATGAAACTATGACTTTCTTTGGGGAGATATATTCCACTTTATTAGGCATCAAAGTCTGGAGACAGAAAGAGGGACGACACGAGACAAATGTCCTGAGTCATAAGAGGCTCTTGTTTCTGTGACTTGTTGGGATCAAAGCTGTGATGTTTGGACTTCAATGCATTTATTATGTTCTCATATAGAGTTCGAGAGCTATATAAGTCTCTCTTTTTCAAAATGATGTGATCATATTTGTCTGAGGATGGTATATCATCTTAATAAAGTTGTGGGAGAAACTTGTACTTGTGCTAGTTTGTGTAATTTTTTTTTATGTGACACCATTTTGCCAATAAAATAAATCAGACAATTTGCTAGAATAAAACTTTTAAATGGTAAGTTTTTGCAACCTACTGATACGTTTAATATCGACGTTTCTGAAGCAAAAATGATCTTTTTGTGGTAGTTTTGAATGTCTTTTTAGTTGCTTTCTATCTTTTTCTGGTCATTTTGTATCACTTTGTTTCTGTTTTTGTGCTGTTTTAAGCCTCCTTGTAGTTGTTTTGTGTCTTAGTGTAGACATGCTGTATCTCTTTGTAGTTATTTTGTGTCTTATTGTAG